TAGCTAGGATTCATTACTAGGAACAGAATGCATCACCGGGAACATCTTTAGAATTTATAAATAGGAACAAGGATGTGTTTGTTATGGAGGAAGGACCATGGGCAGCCAAAGTGTAGGATGTTCAATGTACTCCTTCAGGGTACCTGTTCAGCTCACAATGATGTATACACAATGACCCCCAGCAGGCATGTTTGTACTTCAATCCTCTAGACACAGCTGATAGTCCCAGAGGACCTACCTGCCCATCTCTCAGATACACAGAATTCAGAATAGAAGATTTCAGTTGAGATTGGGCTGGTTTCTTAAAGAAGATGTAAAAAATGAGAGGCTCTGAGGGCAGCCATCTTCTATATTATTACCAGGAAAACTGGACCAGAGAAATACAGAGAAAAACAAAGCAGATACACTGAGAAATGCAGAAATGAGAGACAAAAGAGAGTGTTGTCAAAGTTTATAACGACTTCTCAGGTCCTAGTCCTCAGCCCTTTCTGTAAGATGCTAAAGCATCCATACAGTAGGGAGTCTGTGAGTCTGGTCTTCCTGCTTACTACTACTAAGCAACCCTTATGCTTAAATTACATCAAGTTGTTTTTGTAGTACTTGCGGCCAGTAAGTACTTATTAACACTGGAATGACCATGACCTGATCTGTGTGCACACTCACATGTGTATATGTGTTTGTGTGCACATGTGTGTTTAAGAGAAAGACACTGCTGGCAGCGATGTGGAAGGATGATCTATCTGAAATGTACTACATTACTATCAGAATGTTCCACCTGAAAAGTACTACATTACCGTCAGAATGTTCTACAGGAAATGTACTGTTACTGTCAGAATGATCTATAGGAAATGTACTATGTTAATATCAGAATAACCAACCTGAAACATACTACATTACCGTCAAAATAATTTACCTGAAATGTACTATGTTACTGTCAGAATGATCTACCTGAAATGTACATCTGCCCACAATTCCCTATCACCTACAGAAGTCAAGCTCTGTAGTGTTACATACAAGCACATTCATTCCTTCAACAAATATTTCGTAAGGACCTACTATTATGTAATATTTAATGAGTACCTGCTATGTCCTACTACTACAACTAGGCCAACTATTTTAGGCACTTGGGATAGAAGAGAATAAGATGAATTTACATGCCAGTGGTGAGTGATAGAGACAGGCATTTAAAAAATTTTGTTTTGTTTTGTTTTCCAGATAGTGATAAGTGCTATACAGAAAAATAGAGCAGAAGGAAGTAGAGAGTGACAGGAGCAGGGGCGAGGGGTGCTCTTTTAGACAGAATGGGCAGGCAAGGTTGAGGGAAGATGTACATGAGCAGACACCTGAATGTGATGGGGAGCTGAAAACAGGATAGAGTTTTCCTTGAAGAGAATAGCAAACAGAAAGATCCTGAGGCAGGGACAGCTTTGGTGGCTTAGAGGACCTACAAGGTAGCAAGGTAGCACAATCGTTAAGATGGGCAGGAGTCGAATCAGATAAGGACATGGAGTTAACTGTAGGCCAGGCTCACAGATTGTTCTGAGAGTCATGGGAGACTACTGGTGGGTTTTGAGTAGGAGAATCACATTTGCTTTTTGTTTTTTAAAAAGCATTTTGGCTGCTAGGCAGGCCTGCCTATATGAACGGCTAGAATAGAAGCCAGGAAAGCAATAGTCCAGGCAGAAGATCATGATGGCCTAGGCTTGGGTGGCAGTTATGGAAGTGGTGAGAAGCAGGCTCAAGATACAGTCAGGCTAAAGACAGAACTGGCTGGCCTGACTGATGCATTAGAAAAAGCGTAGAGTTAAGAGAGGCCCTGAGTATGCCACTAAGGTTTTTGGAAGGAGCAACTGGGTGAATGGAATGCGCTGGTTGTTGAGCAGGTTTGGAGTACCTGAGTACAGTGGGGGAAACAAGAATTCATTTTAGGACATACGTAGATTGAGATCATTTCAGACATGGAAGAAGCTGGTCATACCAGTCTGGAGTTTGGGCAAAAGGTCAGGATGGAGCCGCAACCCTCCTGACTCATCTTACAGCCCATATGTACACCAGCAAATGAAATATCCATCTGATTGGCTTGTGGTTGCCACGTATGATGTTTTGGGGTTTGATGCCTTTGTGTCATCCTCTCTGCTGGGAACACCCCTTCAACTTTTCCACCTTTGGCTGAATCTAGCCCTTTAAAAGTAAGCCCAGGCATCCTCTCCTCAAAAAGCTTTGCCTGAACACCGGGAGTCAGGAGCCTCTCATCAGTTCCTCTGTGGTTCTGACTTCCTCATATTAAAGTTGCCTAGTAGAGTCTCTAGCGCAGGGCCTGCCTAACTCATGTTTGTATGCCCAGGACCTTACCCTGAACCTGGCACACCGTTAGGAGCTGTACACATAACTCAAGGGCAGGAACCCATCAGAAGACCCACCCACTCACATAGAGGAACGGGGAGGACTGGAACGACTGGAGAGGAGGAGACGGGTTCCAGTCACGTCCTCCGTGAATGTGAGACTCAGCTCCTCCCTCAGGGACGCCCCTACCTCCCCGCAGCAAGGCGCCCCTCCCACTGTTCTGGTTTACCTGTGGGTAGAGGGGCGCTAAGAGGGTTGACATCGGTGGTGCGGGAAGCACTGGGCTATCACGGGGAGAGGTAAACCGAAGCATGCACGCCTCTTACGAGAAACCATGGGCAGTCAGAGCCACCTGCGGAACTGGCCCACGCCGCGCCCCATCCTCTGGGCGCCACCGGCCCGTGAATTCTGAGCCAAGTCCGTCCAGTGCGGCTTCGGCGTCTGCGGCCCGGGCCTGGATTAGTAGCAGGTCGGGGCCCTAAAGCGGCCACGACCGAAAGGCAGGCCCCTTGACCGGATCCGTCGCTACCCAGCCCTGCCCACCCGCATCCACGGTACTCACCGGTGGGAAAGAGGAGCGCCTCCTGCTCCAGCTGGGCCTCCGGGCTGCCAGTGCTGTGCATTGACTCGGGCAGAGGTGGCGACGCTTGGTCCATGGCTGTGCTGCAGCTGCTGGTGGCGGCCGGATCGCGAGATCCCGGAAGTGCCCCAATGCACCAGGTTTCGTTTTCTTGAATCTGGGCCGTTCCTTCCAGTCACGAGACAGCCCGGGGAAAGTTGTGTGTGCAGATAGGGGTTCTCACTCACTCATTCAGATCTACATCTTAATTTGAATAGCTTAAAAAACCCAAACACGTGGTTTTCCTACCCCACCCCCACGGCTCAGCGGGAGAAACAATCACCTTCCTGAGGGTTTCTCCTAAAAATTTTCTCCTGAGTTTGATCTAAATAACCATATCTTAAAATGACACAGAATTAACTGATCCTAAATCCAGTTGCCAGTAGCAAGCCTTTATTTAGCACCCATAGGGTACAGAGCACCATACAAGTCGAGGTTTTTAGTGCATCTAACAAATATACAGGTAGAGAACAGAAATGCGTATAGTCATAGTTACAAAATAAGTTGTTCTGGAAAAAAGACGCAACAGTTGGTGGTTTGCTGAGGAATTAAAAGAAAACTGGAGATCTTACACTTTCAGCAGGTTGTAAAGAGGAAGATTGCAAACTGGGACAGCAGAAGAGAAATATTAAAAAGGACAATTTGACAACTATGAAATTAATTGCAGAAGCAAGAGTGTGGGGTCTGCAAAAGAGGGAAGTGAGCAGACCCTAGCAGCCAATTTTTTTTTGCCCTCCATGCAGGAGGATGGAAGAGTATTTCTTGCCAAGTCAAAAAGAAAAGCCCTAAAGAGACTGACATTAGGGTGTTCCCCAGCAAAGTAGCTCAGGTAGGTCACAGTAAGACAAAGAGCCCTTTACCACACTCTCAGCTTACAATAAGCTTTTTGATGTTCCACATTTAAATAGGAGTAGACTACCTAGACCATTAACTCTGAGGAAAGCCTATAATGTGGAAGATCAAGACCAAAACAGACATACAGGGGAAACAAAGAAACAAACTCTGGAAGACAGAGATTATGCGGAAAGAATAGAGAGATGTGTGCATACACATACACACAAATATCTTAAAAGATAAAATACTGCAAACATGACTAAAATAGGATGCTATTTAAAAAAAGAGTATTCAGAGATGGGGAGCTCTTAGAAATATGAAACTAGAAAAATAAAATGCAACCGATGAACTAGAAGATTAAATTAAGAAATGGTCCTAGGTAAAGGTCCCAGCAAGAAGACAGAACTGTAAGTTAAGAGAAAACATAGGAAAATTAGAGATCAATTCTGGGGGTCTAACATCTGGGAAACAGGAATTCCAGAAAGAGAGAACAGATGGAAAATCATTAGTTTCAGACTGAATGATCCCACCAGGCACTTAGTACAAAGGATGAAAATCTTAACAGGGGCAGAACACTGAGACAAAGATAAACCTATAAGCTTCAAGAGAGATACAAATGGATTATATATGCAAAAGAGGAGGAACAGAATGTCATTCAATTTCCAGTAGTCACCCTGGAAGCCAGAAGACAGTACATTTTCACACTCCACACCAGTAACACTGAAAGCTAGCAGATGCCTTCAAAACTGGGCATGGAGACCATTCAATAATTCTATACCTCGCCAACCAACACAGCAATCAAGTGTAAGGGTAAAATAAAGACATTTTCAAACACACAGAGATTCAAAACATTTACTTCTAACTTTTCCTTTTCAAAAGCTATCAGAAGAGCTTTACCAATATGTGGAAGAGTAAACAAAGGAAAAGGAAAACAATGGGATCTAACTGGAAATGGGTCCAACATAAGAGACAAAGGGAATCTCTGAGTTATGGATGAAAGATGATAGCTGTGAACCAGTCCAGATTAAAGCAAATCAACAACATTTCAGGAGAAATTTCTCCAAGAGGATAAAACTGACAGAATACCTCATATTTCTAAAGGTCAAATGGACTCCACAGGCAGAGCTCAAAGGAATACTGTCTGATCCACAATATTTCCTTTTGCACAAAAATATCTCCCATATTGATTCAAGTTTTTTTTCACTTCATTTTAGTACACTGCCTGAAACTCCTGCATCTCTACAGTGAATAAATGGATTTCTCAACTTTCCTCATCAGCAGCTTGCTGGGCTGTTTTGCTACTTTTCCTAGCTGTCTGATTTCCCAGTCTGCTTGGGCTTCCCAGTCCCCCTTTCCACTAGATAGATCATCAGGGCCAAGTAACCTATGGTAAAGTGCTTACTCTTTTTTCTCTAAAAAAACAATTTGCAAATCATGCTCAGGAGATACTAAGGAGCTATTTCAGATTTCACAGTTCAGAATTGCTTTCTTTTCTTGTGTGTGTGTGTTTTTTGTTTGAGACAGGGTCTTGCTCTATTGCCCAGGCTGTTAGTGCTGTGGTGAAATCACGTCTCACTGCAGCCTTGACCTCCCGAGCTCAAATGATCTTCCCACCTCACTCCTGAGTAGCTGGGACTACAGGCACATGCCATCAAGCCCGGCTAATTTTTCTGTTTTGTAGAGTCAGGGTTTTGCCATGTTGCCCAAGCTGGTCTCGAGCGCCTAGGCTCAAGTAATCCACCTGCCTCCGCCTGTCAAAGTGTTGTGATTATAGGTGAGAGCCACCATGCCTGGCCTTCTTGTGTTTAAGTGAAATTCTTGCCCACCTCAATTCCTTCTGGCCTAAATAAGCCAAGTTTGACTACTTTCTAGGCTTCCTTTTCAATAACTATATCTAATCTATCTAGAACAAAAATGTTCAAGTTCTTCCAGGCTTCTATTCCCTCTTTTCCTATATTTGTATTGAAAGAGTAGAGAATATCCATGGAAAAGAAGATTCATCTCAAAGAGTCTGCCAGAATCTTACAGAAGAGCTTCTTCCTTTCCCCACTCAAATGGTTGATGGGACAGTATTTTATGGATCCAAGTATCGCTTCTCCAACAAGTGTTAAATTCTTGGGAGTAATATGTTTAAAATGAGTTCCTCAGGCACTGTTGTCCACCTTGTAGCTCATAATGGTAAATGATTTTCCAGGAATTAAAAATCAATTTCGTAGGTAAAAGTGTGAAATTTAGCTCTTTGGGGCATGAACTAAAAGGTAACAGTCACAAAAGCAATTAGAAACAGTTGAGTTTTGTTATGACATTTGTTTCTCTTAATATATAATTTTTAAATAAATTATAAGTTGGAGAGTGGTATTTCATATAAAATATATGCTTCCATCCTATTCATGTAAAGCTGCACAGCAGTGAATGAGATACCCTATGTGTATGAAAATGTCCTAATTGTGTTCCTGGAATTTCTTTAAGTCACACAAATAAAATCTGAAATAAAATATGAACCCAATGACAAAGGAAACGAAGGGGAATTATCTCGATGGACCTTTACCTTCTTTTGCATGGCTTTAATTTCAGCCTGATAAGCTAATTTGACAAACAGGCATTAGCTACATATTTATAATATTTTTTTTCTACATTTATTAACCCCACATTGGCAGAAGATTTCCTTTTCAGGCACAGTCCCAGCTTCATAACCATAATCCCATGTTAGCTCTGTCCTTGCTTTCACATACCTAGAAAGTAGAAATTTTAAAACAATCATAAAATACCCTAAAGAACCACCAATCAACCAAACTTAATTATATCCATTTTCCTAGTAACATTAACCATCCTCAAAAATATGATCTATTCTCTCACCTGACACCCACCAATTAGGAATGACCTTTTATTAAGAATAACCATTTGCGTTCTATTTCTAATCTACTAAAATGTTAATCAAGAAGGAACCCCAATCAATATGAGGAAGGAAGTGTATTTTGCCAAGAGTAGGACCAAGTGATATGCTGAGGCCTGCAGTGTGGAAGTAGCTGGGGAATAGCTCAGAATTAAAGATTATGTAGCACTCTTCGTCATTTATCCCGAGTGGAACTGGGTGATACCTGATATCATCTCAGCCCGTTCAGGCATTCATTCTAAGTGGGAATAAGAATTGAAATTTCAGGTGTTCAAAATCTTACTGACTAGGAACAGTTTAGGATAACTGAATATTCTACAGTACAAGATATTTGAGGCTATAGTATATGTCATCTTTTTATATTTTTCTATTGTTATCATTTTTTGAGATGGGGTGCAAACTCCACCTCTTGGGCTCAAGTGATCCTCCCACCCCAGCTTCCTGAGTAGCTGGCCACCACTCCTGGTGAATTTTTTTTTTTTTTTTTAAAGTAGAGACAGGGTTTTGCCATGTTGCCCCAGGCTGGTCTCGTACTCCTGAACTCAAGCGATCTGCCCATCTTCACTTCTCAAAGTGCTGGGATTACAGGTTTGAGCCACCATGCCTGGTTCTCTATTGTTATTTGTAAAGTCACGATTTCAGAATTAAGTAAGCAAAATCAATTTCAAACCTGTTGGTGAAGAATGCCACCAATGGAAAATTCCTGTCGTGTGTTTCTACAAAAACATTCTGTACCAAGAGATTTGGGCAACAACTATGCTGTTAAATAAAAAATAAATACCAAGGTTAGAAATAGCGTAAAGTCTGATAACTTGTGCTTTAGCATTAGAATACCATTCTGTTTTTAATCCATCACGTCGATTTTGTTCTTTTTTTTGCTAATGTATAAAATATCATAGCTTCTGTTAATAGTGATAACCCATTCAGAAAAGCCCTGTTCTGACACTCTTATATGTTGCTGGTAGAAACACAAAAATGGGACAAATCCCTATAAAATCTGTCAATATTTGTCATTATTATAAATGCATTTGTGTTTTGATTCTGTAATCTCTTATCTAGAAATGTATTCTACAGATTCATCTGCATATGTGTCTATGTGTAAAATTATTCATTGAACAGTGTTTTTAATGCTGAAGGTTTGGAAATAACTCAAAATATCTGCCTAAAGGGGATTGGTTAAATAAACTTTGGTAGACAACAGAATTCTATGCATCTATAAACAAAAGCATACAAAAAAGAATGAGAAGCTCTGTGTATTAATATGGAAATTATTCCACAACATTTGTGTAGCAATATGGAAAATATTGTCACAATACACTTTTTTTTTGAGACGGAGTCTCTCTTTGTTGCCCAGGCTGAAGTGCAGTGGCATGGTCTTGGCTCACTGCAACCCCTGCCTCCCAGGTTCAAGTGATTCTTGTGCCTCAGCCTCCCAAGCAGCTGGGATTACAGGCATGCACCACCATGCCTGGCTAATTTTTTTTGTTTTTGTATTTTTAGTAGTGATGGGGTTTTGTCATGTTGGACAGGCTGATGTCAAACTCCTGACCTCAAGTGATCCTTCCACCTCAGTTTCCCAAAGTGCTGGGATTACAGGCATGAGCCACCACGCCCGGCCCAATATACTGTTAATTTAAAAAACAAAGTATAGGACAGTGAATATAATATGTTATGTTTTATGTTTAAAAAAGGGGGAGAAATGAGGCCAGGCACAGTGGCTCACACCTGTAATCCCAGCACTTTGGGAGGCCAAGGCTGGTGGATCACTTGAGGTCAGGAGTTTAAGATCAGCCTGGCTGACATGGTGAAAACCACGTCTCTACTAAAAAAAAAAAAATTAGCCAGGCATGGTGGTGCATGCCTGTAATCCCAGCTACTCGGGAGGCTGAAGCAGAATCGCTTAAACCTTGGAGGCAGAGGTTGCAGTGATCCGAGATTTCACCACTGCACTTCAGCCTGGGCGATACAGCAAGACTCCATCTCAAAAAAATAAAGGAGGAGATATAAGAACACATGTTCATATTACTTGTATTTTAGGAAGGAAACACTAGAAGAATACACACACACAAAAGAGTAAAGGCCAGGCGTGGTGGCTCACGCCTGTAATCCCAGCACTTTGGGAGGCTGAGGTGGGCGGATCACAAGGTCAAGGGATCAAGACCATCTTGGCCAACATAGTGAAACCCTGTCTCTGCTAAAAATACAAAAATTAGCTGGGCATGGTGGTGCATGCCTGTAATCCCAGCTACTCAGGAGGCTGAGGCAGGACAATCACTTGAGCCCAGGAGGCAGAGGTTGCAGTGAGCCAAGATCGTGCCACTGCACTCCAGCCTGGCAACGGAGTGAGACTCCGTCTAAAAAAAAGAAAAAAGAGTAAACATGATGACTTACAGAGAGAAGGTAGAGTGGGGGCATGGGAAATGGAAGCACAGTACTTTTCAAAGTATGGCTTTTTTTCTTTTTTAACAAAAAGTTTTCACAAAGAAAGTTTAATATGAAGATGTACAGAACCTAATTTTTACATCATTGTAACAAACAAGCCTTTTGGAGAGGAGATATTGTAAGCAACTAATTTCTCTGTTGAACACAGCCATAACGTGTCTTCATTCCAAAGCTTCTAAACAGATGCTATCATTTCCTCATATTACCACTATTCCAGTATTGCTCTGTTGCCTACTCTACACATTCATCATGTGATTAATGCCTGTAATCCCAGCTACTCAGGAGGGTGAGGCACAAGAACTGCTTGAACCCCAGAAGTGGAGGTTGCAGTGAGCCGAGATCGCACCACTGGTGACAAAGTGAGACTCTGTCTCAAAAAAAAAAAAAAAAAAAAGAGAAAAAGAAAAAAAAAACCCAGTATGTGGTAATCTTTCTATATTAATATATCATCAAATCCCAACAATATTCTTTGGACATGTCTGCCACCATTTAATTTCACTGATAATTTCCTATCCACACATTTTTTTTTCCCAACTCAGGTAAGTGAGCTTGAAAACCTTCTGACATATTTGTTATTTTTTTAAATTTTAATTAATATATATATATATTTTTTGAGACGGAGTCTTGCTCTGTCTCCCAGGCTAGAGTGCAATGGTGCAATCTCAGCTCACTGCAACCTCTGCCTCTCAGGTTCAAGCAATTCTCCTGCCTCAGCCTCCTGAGTAGCTGAGATTACAGGTACCCACCACCACACCCAGCTAATTTTTTTGTATTTTTAATAGAGATGGGGTTTCACCACCTTGGCCAGGCTGGTCTTGAACTCCTGACCTTGTGATCCACCCGCCTCGGCCTCCCAAAGTGATGGGATTACAGGCGTGAACCACTGCACCTGGCCCCTTCTAATATATTTAAATACTTTTCTTATATACCATGTCTTATAGTTTTTAAAAAGCAAATGTTTACTATGTGCTAGGCACGTTCTAAGCACTTTATGTTAATTCATTCACACAACATCCTGAGACAGTTATTATTTATCCCCATCTTACAAAGGTAGAAAGTAAGGTATCAGAGATCAAGTAAAACATCCATCCGTGGAGGACTGGAATTCTAACCAGATAGCCTGACTTTAGAGTCTGTTTTTCATATTTTCCTCATAATTTTGTTAAGTAGCATAGAAAAAAACAGTTGCTCAGAAATAGGAATCTCAGCTCTTATACTCACATTAAGGAAGCGGCCAACATTTCCTTCTTTTGTGGCATCCAATAAAAACACATTCCCTTTATTGAACTTTGTTAGAGAATCAGATGAAGTATTCTCGGTTTCACTTAGCAATTCTTCATCACAAAAGACCTGCTGTTTTTGACATGTTGTAGACCGTTCCTCTTTGGGCTTCTGTATTTGAACCTCAATTGCCTTTTTAATATTCTGATTATCCAATGTGGTTGCCTGGTTACATCTGCTCCCTGGTGGAGTTTCTTCTCTACATTTAGTTATATCTATCACATCTGATTCAATCAGCAGATTATCTTCAAAATCATCAACATGGTTTGAACTTGAGTTCTCTAATAGACATTTTGGAAGGAAACATCAGGGAATACAGTTGCTGAGCAATAGTGCTGAAATTAACAACACTAATTAGATGCTAGGTGCTTTAATTATCAATCCTTACAATGTGTTAGGCAAACAGCAGTATTTAATTGTATAAAGGAAACTTTGAGTATCTGAGGGATTAAGAGATTCATCTGACCCACAATAAAAAGAACTCCAGTAACAAACCCAGAAATGTGTGAATCCCAACGTTCTGCCTTCTACTACGTACGAATGCTTTTTCATTAATCTACATCTTGCTTCTTCATTATTATATTTAATATCTACTCTTAATAAACTGACTCTTTTTAATTCTGGAATCTGCACTTACGTATGTTCTAAACAAATGTAACAGAATGGGTGTTTTGGAGGCACTCTAGGCCTTTATGCTGCCAATAAAAGGCCTAACCCTCACAGACTCACCCTCCACAAGTCCCAACAGTGACAACTGTACTGCTAAGGGTTTTGCATATATTAGTGTTTGGTGCTTTACTAGATGAGCATTCAAAAATTACACTTTTATAAACAATAATCCTTTAAAAGTAGATGCACTATTTAATCGTTTTTCTTATACAATAAGGGAAATAATTTTTTGAGAGTATTCAAAAGGACGAATATGGCAGGGCATGGTGGCTCACGCCTGTAATCCCAGCACTTTGGGAGATCAAGGCAGGAGGATGCTTGAGGCCAGGAATTCAAGACCAGCCTGGGCAACAAAGTGAGACCTCATCTCTACGAAAAAAAATTAAAAAAAATAAATTAGCCAGCAAGGTGGGGTGTGTCTGTAGTCCTGGTTGCTTGGGAGACTGAGGTGGGAAGACTGTTTGAGCCCAGAAATTGGAAGGTGCAGTGAGCTATGATCCCACCACTGCACTCCAGCTTGGGTGACAGAACAAGATGCTGTCTCTCTTTACGGAAAAAAAAATATGAATGCATGTCAGATGGAGTAAGTATAAATTACTTATTTTAAAAGAGCCACAAAGCTATTTGTGCCACCTAATTCACTGGCACAAAAAAATTATTTGTCTAAAATTAAGGCTCTTGATTTAATCACCACCATTGCTGGCTGCCGTTCCTACACGTACTCATATTTTAATCATGAGTTACATGTAAGCTATAATATAACTTTGGATTTTTTTTATACAAAACGTATGTAACTTTTGACTTTTGGAGTACCTGCTATATAAATTGTAGCAGTCAATGAAAAGGGCAAAAGAACCAAAAGCAATGGTATGCATTGTGACTCACCCGCATGGTAAAATAAATTCTTTTAGAATTGGCTCACCAATTCTTCACAAATGGACATATCTCAGCAATGTCTCCTTGTGAAGGACACAGTGAAATGCAAAAGTACCAAAAACAAGGATTGTGCAGTTGTAATGTTAACTATGGCAAGGACTAGTAACTCTGAAACATAAGGACTCAGGGTGGCAATATTTTGGCCTTTTGCTAGAATCATGCTGAGTATGCTCTCCGGCAGTATTGGCTAGGCAATTGCAGGAGACTGATGTGTGTTTATTTTTAAAGGCATCTACAAAGAGTTTGAAAGTGGCTGCTCTGCACAATGGTTCCAAAGCCACAGACAATACCTGTGCACCACATAAGAGTCAGAGTTGTCCAGCCCACCACCCCTCTTACCATGCATCAAGTCAATACTGGCAATTAGACCAGAGGTCAGCAAAGTTCTTCTTTAGAAGGCAAAATAGCAAATATTTTAGGCTTTGCTGGCCATGTGGTCTCCGTTGTGATTATTCAATTTTGCTGTAATGTTGAAGCCGACAATATTTAATGCAAATTGGCTCTATTCTAATAAAACTTACATTTTTCTGAGACAGGGTCTTGCTCAATCGTTCAGGCTGCAGTGCAGTGACACAATCATAGTTCACTGTAACCTCTAACTCCTGACCTCAATAATCCTCCCATTTCAGCCCCCTGAGTAGCTAAGACCACAGGTGTGCACCACCACACCTGGCTAATTTTGTTGCTGTTGTTGAGACAAGATCTTGCTATGTTGCCCAGACTCATGGCCTCAAGCAACCCTCCTGCCTTGGCCTCCCAAAGTGCTGAGATTACGGGCTGAGCTACTGCACCAGTCCAAAACTTTATCTCTGGACACTAAAATTTCATATAATTTTCAGTTGTCAAAATATTATCACCTTCTGATTTTTTTTCAACTATTTAAAAATGTAAAAATCATTCTTAGCTCACATGCTATAGTGAACAGGTAGAGGGCCAGATATGGCCCACAAGCCATAGTTGGCTGACCTCTTACCTAGGTAAGTTGTAACCTTTGTGACAAAGGCAGCATGTTTATTATGGCATCTAAGAAAATGAGCTACAGGTATTGAGCAAGACACAGAGAAACAGGCAGAAGATGTAGGCATTCACAGAAGAAACAAAGCCTACTTTGTGCTCCCTTGGTTTCAGAGTTCAGATGTTCTTGGGTTGGTTTAAATCCATCATGATCTTCTGGAGTGACAGACTCCGAGGAAACAAATTCCTTAAAAAAACAAGGAAGATGTCTTTACTTTCCAGGTCAGGAAAAAGTATTTAGCAGTTAGGCCTCTTTTATCAAGTGTCAGTCATCATAATCTGTACGTACTAGATTAGTCTGAAAAGCCTCAAAACTGGTATCATGGAGCCAATGGGCTAATGGAGCCAGTATGTGTCAAACGCTAGTAGTGTGTTCTACTCCTAGGTGCCTTATTAAGCCACAGCTATAAAGACTGTCAAGAAATTTTTTGGGAATTAAAATCTTAATACATCTGTCTGTAACCCCAATTGTAATCATTCTCAGTACTGAGAAAGTGTTATTACTAGATTATAAATTTGGCTTCAACTGTAAATTGTGTAAAGACTAAAAACACTCACTGGCTAGTTTCTACTTCAAAGAAAAGTTAATGAATTTGACAGTATTTATGCATTGTATACACTGCAGTCACTTTAAATAGTAATGCTAACTTTAAAAGAGGGGTATATGCTTAGCACAATGCTTGGCAAACAACTAAGTGTTCAATGCACATTGACCATATTATTACTATGAAAGTTCTCAGTATCTGAATGGTTAACAAGTATTGAGCACTTAGTTGGATGCTAAGCATTATGCTAAGCAACCTTAAGATGCTTATTTCATTTAATCCTCATAACTCTGAGACATCTACTATTATCTTTTTACAGATAAAAGAAATGTATATATGGAGATACCACCCAGCTAGCAGGCAGCAGAGCTGAAGGTTAAACCTGGGTCTGTGTGACACCATGGCCAATCTTTTCATAATTCTCTGACCCTAAGGAGGTAGCTATTGTACCATTACCAGGGAGAGGGCAAATATTTGTGTAGCACCTAGAGCACAGTTTTTACTTTCCATCCACAAGCTCTAATATAAGCTACCATTATGTCTCTCTTCGTTCTCTTTCCTCTTTCTTTGCTTCTATGTTTTAGTAATCTTCTTAGTTCAGACTGCAAAGAGTACCCTCAGAGGCTACCACATAAAATATTTCTGGATGATTCTTTCATAAAGTTGCATCTCTTCTTTCTCCTACATCTTAAAACCTTTGGCTGGGCACGGTGGTTTACGCCTGTAATCCCAGCACTTTGGGAGTCTGAGGCAGGTGGATCACCTGAGGTCAGGAGTTTGAGACCAGTCTGGCCAGCATGAGGAAACCCTGTCTCTACTAAAAATACAAAAAGTTAGCTGGGAGTAATGGCAGGCACCTGTAATCCCAGCTTCTGGGGAGGCTGAAGCAGGAGAATCGCTTGAACCCAGGAGGCAGAGGTTGCACCATTGCACTCCAGCCTGGGCAACAAGAGTGAAACTCAGTCTCCAAAACAAAACAAAACAAAACAAAACAAAACAAAACAAAAACCCTTCTTCTCCTTTACCTAACTTACTTCGTCCCTTTTCTTATCATAGATCACTATTAACTCTTGAACACTTTAGCTTCTCCCACAAATTCTCAGAATGGGCTACCTCTCAGTCTCAGTGGAGCACACACTGTCAGATCATGACCAGCATTCTCCTCAAACAGCCAGGCTGGAAACACGCCAACTGCCGTGGACAATGTTAACTAAATAGAACATGGTCCTAGCATTTCCACAGTCTACCATTCCAAAACAATAGAAGAAATTCTACATGCTATAAAGTAACAAACATTTTGAGCTAAGTAAAGGAAAGAAAGGCAACAGTTTATGATCTCAGAAGGGCCCCATCAGCTGGGCACAGTAGCTCATGCCTATAATCCCAGCACTTTGGGAGGCTGAGGCATGACAACTGCTTGAGCTCAGAAGCTGGAGATCAGCCTGGGCAATATAGTGAGACCCTGTCTCTACTAAATAAGAGCCAGGCATGGTGGTGTATACCTGTAGTCCCAGCTATTTGGGAGGCTGAGGCAGAAGGATCACTCAAGCCCAGGAGATTGTGGCTGCAGTGAGCTGTGATTGTGCCACTGCACTCCAGCCTGGGTGACAGAGTGAGGCTCTGTGTCCAAAAAAAAAAAAAAGATTTAAAAATAAAAATTAAAAAAGAAATGAAGGGCCGCATCTACATTTTGCAGTTTTTACCATTTTCTTCCCATTGTGTTGAAACATGGCTGTCTTGGATTCAGGACCTCTAATAACTGAATGATATCGAATTCTTGAAATATTGCTATACTTCATTTCCCTAAAAAGGAAAAAAAAAGTGATTCTGTATCACTAAAAATTCTCTTCACTGAAGTACAGATAATATCCATTATTACATAAATATCCATAATAATAAATTAATTAAGAACATCTATGCTTATTCCTTTCCCTAGAGAAGGGAAATAAAATCATACTTTAAATAATTTTTGAAGTACGTTTTAAAAAAGGAAGAGAACCTATGAAAACTTTGCAGATAAAATGGAAAAATTTTAAAAACAGTAAAACTTATGTCATTCATAAAAAACCTGATTAAAGTCATATAAGGTAAAATTCCAGAAAATGGAACACTGAGGATAGTATGTTGGCTAGATTTTTAAATGTCCTGGATGTCTCAAAGTGTTAGACTTAACAACTTTAAAACAAGATGATAAATACAAATGAGGAGAAAAGAAAGAGGGGAAGGAAAAAGAACCAATCAATCCATAATAATTTAGATTTACTATGGGTTCCTCAGCTATTACTTACATAGTAAACTCCTTGGGATTATTACTGAACTTTGGTGAATATTTCTCAGTTTTAGCACTTTTAGGATGTGTTTCCAGTTCTAATGGGATAACTTCAACTTCACAATCCGAACATGCAACTTCTAATTTCCTCTTTTTTGAAAATACATTTTTCACAGTATTCTCATCTCTCCTGTTTTCATCAATACCATTAGGTTTCTCAGTGTTAGCTCTGCTTAGTAATCTTCCTAAAAGGAAAAATGTTCAAGAGTTTGAACAAGACAGAAGAGAATATAATTGCTAACAACAAATGGACACCTCTATTTCTACTCCATAACTAAAGAACCCATACTTTCTACAACGAAGAGAAACACATTAACTCATCCTACAAGACTGCTGTAAGACAAAGACCAATGTGGTATTTCTTATATTCCAGTATATTAAAAATAGAGTATCTAAAAAAACCATCTGTCTGTTTTGGTATAACACAAAAGAGGTTTAACTACAATAATACAAAACAAAGATATGGATCAGAAGGTACTCTAGAAAATTAGAGAGATGATCTCTAGTCATAAAATTGTAGCTTTTGTGTCTAGTTAAAAAGGTTTTATCATCTGAAACTTACACTTTCTAACCAAAAAAGTACCTATTTAAATCTGTGGTGATATGCACCTAGCATTGTCATATTAAGTCTTGCGTAACACGAAAATCTTAAAAGTTTATGCATTTTCTTTCAAGGTATTCAATATTATAGTTGCCAAGTCAAAATTAATAGCAGGATATTCTTACCTATCCTTAGATCAAAGACATAGCTTATGTACATTTTCTAGCAACACAGATAAAACCAATGATACTTCCTGGACACCACTTGGCATTTTATAGGTAGCTTTCATCCAAGAGTTATTTTGAGAAGTATGAGAGATGAATGTCTAGGCAGGCTGTGCGGAATGCGGATCTATAAGTGGGGAGTGGCAGGGATCCATAAGTGTGACTACTCTGAATTCACATAACTCTGCAAGCTTCTTGTTCTCCCTGACATGAACCTGAAATTTTTCTCTTTTTTTTTTTTTTGAGACAGAGTTTCGCTCTTGTTACCCAGGCTGGAGTGCAATGGCGCGATCTCGGCTCACCGCAACCTCCGCCTCCTGGGTTCAGGCAATTCTCCTGCCTCAGCCTCCTGAGTAGCTGGGATTACAGGCACGCGCCACCATGCCCAGCTAATTTTTTGTAGTTTTAGTAGAGACGGGGTTTCACCATGTTGACCAGGATGGTCTCGATCTCTTGACCTTGTGATCCACCCGCCTCGGCCTCCCAAAGTGCTGGGATTACAGGCGTGAGCCACCGCGCCCGGCCTCTCTTCTTTTTTAAGCACTTGGTCATGTAAACAGATAAACCTGATTTTTCAGATAAGGAATTTCAGAACCTGGTTGTTATGTTTCCTGCTGCCTAGCTGCCGAGAATAAGTCAAGGACAATCCCTTTAGACTGGCTCTAAAGCTGTGTTTCCCTAACTTTCTCACATAAGGATGTGCACAGAAAATAAGGTTTTTGCTGCATAGTTTTAGGCATTTGCCTGGAGGTAAATGCCTAAGACTACTGAAGACTGATGTGTTTGGTCCTGGGGCTGTGGCCCTAAAGAATCAGTAATTGCACAACTGTAACATACTGCTTGGGAAGTTTTGCTCTGCAGCACAGACAACTCTCTGCAGTCCCCCAAATAGAGTGAGTTGCCTAAAGTCACTGACTGAATTATAACATGCAGGTATCATATTAACTTGTTAAATTCTAATAATAGCATAAAACATTGAATAAGGAAGTCTTTGACAGGGAATCTTTACCTTGGCAAGCCAGGCATTTAATTTTTTTTTACTTTTAAAAAGTTTTCTACCCTTACCCCAAAGCACCTGTAGCCATGCAGACAAAACAAATGTGCCTTGTAAAAAACAGGACCTCACACAATTACCCAAGTTTCATCTCTGAACCTTTCTTTTCTTAAACATGTGGTGCCTCCTAAGGTATCTCAGAATGCTCAAGTTCCCAGTTCACTTGCCTTCCTCTGATGTTCCTCTTAGATATTGTTACTCTTTACCTTGCTGTAAGCTCTCAATGGCCGTGGCTAGGAAAATGGATATTCAGAAAGGTAGATTCTACTCTGGAATAATTTGAAAATAAACCTTTGCTTTACCTGAATAAATGCAAACAAATGTCCCTCTGTCAATGTCATCCAGGCAGCGTACCCCCCATCCCTTCTTCTCAGTTTTGAACACCTGTAGCCTCACTTGAGGACCATGTTGGACGACTCGGTTTTGACATAATCGTCGATTACATTTGCACAACAGGCTGCATTCATAAATGCTGTCAACAAAATATGCAAAAGAGAAAATCAGACACCATAAAGAGCAAAAAGCAGTTTATTTCCACTTACTGGTACTGATAACTACTGAGGGAAGCAGGCTAAATGTGAAAGCTCTTAGAGGTATAGTGCCTGGGTACCCATCACAGCTTCCACATTTACTAGCTGTATGACCTTGGATGAGTTATTTAACCTCTTTGTGCTTTAACTTTGCATTTTTAAAATGGGGGTTATATGATAATACCTACCTCATAGGGCTGCTTTGTGATTAAGTGAGTCAGTACCTTGAAAGGTTGAAAATTCCCAATTCTCCAATGAGTTCTAGACAGTGTATTTTTAAATGTAAAAATGGCTGCCTAAAGTAGGCTGATCCTAGAGGGTTAAAAGCCAGACTCAAAGCAGGTGAGTGTTTGAGTACACTCTGTATGATGTACATGTAGTCTCTGACTACCATTTCCATGAAAAATATACAGGTTTTTATTCCTTAATAATTTGAATTTTTGGTATTAGAACCAAATTAAACCAGATTTAACAACATCTATAAGATTTCAGACCACAATAAAAAGTACCCACCTTCAAAGATATACACACCCTGCAACAAATCATCAAGGTACCTTACCCAGTAGGTATCTGTCTCTGTAGTCTTTTATATTTATATCCAGTGGTTATTTTATCACTTGACAAGGGGGAAGTTTTCGCATTCCTTGCTGTCAGTTGAAGACATGCACATTTTGTTCTAAAAGGAAGGCAATGGATGGAGAAAGAATGAAAAAGCACCAAGTTAAGTCAAGAGACTGTCTTGATAAAAGCATAAATGATGTACTAAAAGATGTAATAGCATTTAGAATAGTTGTTTGGCTCATGAACACTATGAACTTTTTCCCTAAACAGATCTCTTTGAAAGACAATACTATCAAAAGTTCATAAATAATTATAACTGCACTACATCTCTATTTGCTCATGAAATAAATAAACTATATGAGTTTAGCTTTTCAAAATCAATTCCTTTCATTTCCCTGTTCAGCACAGAAGCTTGTTTGTGAGAATTCTGCTAGTTCTGCTCTTTTACAATGGATAAAATATGTCAAATTTTTAAGGATGTAGTTTTGCAGATATCTTAAGTTCTCTCTCACTCCAGTGACACAAAAACAGATTGGGGAAATTGATACTGGGTACCTGGCTACTATTATAGAATCCTTTTTTCATACTGTTGCGAGGCAGGAAACTTGCAACCACAAAACTCTCCCCTCTATTCAGATGATTAACTAACTTGACAGGGATCCATAATTCCATATAGAGTAAGGAACTTCGGGACTCTAGCTGTATAACTAGATATGTGACTATGGGTGAGCTGGTTAAAATCTCTGGATCTTAGTCTTCTTTGCTGAACAAGTGACTTTAAGGTCTTTTCCTCTACAATTTTCTATATTTTCTGTATTAATTAATACATGTCAGAATGGTGGCTGCCATTTGTAAGAGAAAAGAACAACAACAAGAAAAATCAACAAATTCATTAATTTTTTTTGTGTGTGTGTGACGGAGTTTCGCTCTTGTTACCCAGGCTGGAGTGCAATGGCGCAATCTTGGCTCACCACAACCTCCGCCTCCTGGATTCAGGCAATTCTCCTGCCTCAACCTCCTGAGTAGCTGGGATTACAGGCACGCGCCACCATGCCCAGCTAATGTTTTATATTTTTAGTAGAGACGGGGTTTCACCATGTTGACCAGGATGGTCTCAATCTCTTGACCTCATGATCCACCCGCCTCGGCCTCCCAAAGTGCTGGGATTACAGGCTTGAGCCGCCGCGCCCGGCAAATTCATTACTTTGGATTCTGTTTACAAATGTAAAAATCTATAGCTATTTTTTCCCATGTGATTTTGTATGCAAAGTTTAAAAAGTACAGAAAAATACAGATAATAAATACCCGTATTTCCACCATCCAGAATTAGTTGTCAGCATTTTGTCTAGTTCTTTTTCCTATGTACACAGTTTAAAATATACATACCGTATATACACCACGTATACATAGTCTTCTTAAGAAAAGTTAAAAAGTAGAACATTACTGATATAACTAAACTCTTAAGAGATTTACTGTGGCGTCTTTTATGCTTTATATACATATATATCTACAAACACCACATTGTGCATTTTCATTATAAAAAAATTGCTATAGGTATTATTCTATAACTTGCTATTTCTGTTCAATATAATGTTTTTGAGACCCATCCATGCTATATACAAATCTGGTTAATTCCTTTTAACTTTTCTACAGGATTAGGTATTGCTCACTTTATATATAATTAAGTTATTTAATAGTTTTTGTTTTGTTTTTGGAGAAGGGGGCCTCACTCTGTTGCCCAGGCTGGAGTGTGATGGCACAATCTTGGCTTACTGTAGCCGCGACCTCCCTGGACTCAGGTGATCCTCCCACCCTCAGACTCTTGAGTAGCTGGGACTACAAGTGCATCCCAACACATCAGGCTAATTTTTGTATTTCTGTAGAGATGGGGTTTCACTAGGTTGCCTGAGCTGGTCTCGAACTCCTGGGCTCAAATGATGTTCCTATCTCAGCTTCCCAAAGTGCTAGGATTACAGCCACGAGCCACGGTATCCAGCCTCTTGGGACAGTTTAATTATACCTGTTTTAAAGTCTCTTTCAATCAGATTTGACATTTACCTTTGATTCTTGAAGTGTGAATTCTCCCTACTTGTCAGGTCTCATGCTGCCTTCATGGTCCTAATATCTTTTTGTGCTTTAAATGTTTGTTTGAAATCATACCTTCTGTGGGGTTTAGTCCTGTATGCAGCTCTATGTTGGGTGCTTTCTCCACCGCTTTGGCTCTGACCCTATTCGTTTTACAGCTGTTAACAAGGTTTTCATTAATACAGTTCCAGGCCCTGTGAGATACTGGCCTAGTTCCCAGTCTTGTGCAGGTACCTGTTTCTTTTCCTCTGGAGAGCCCAGTGCCCAGATAAAGTAGTTGGGTTACATTTAGAGGCAATCTTTACAAAATAAAATACATGTTTTAAAACAGAATAAAACAGTACAGTGAGAGGTTTTCTCTATGAGAGGCCTCAAGGAACTGAGCCAAACTGAGGTAACAGTAGATATAGCTCTCATCTTACACTCCAATTAATAGAGAGGATGGTGAAAACTATTACCTGTACTATTTAAATTATTTATCATTCTTTTATTCTTTTTTGCCTAATATAGGTAGCTAAATTTGCATTAAATTCAATGTACATATAATGCAGTGCTACTCTACATCTGTATACCTATAAATATGTGTACTACCAGCCTTAAAATGTTTTTCAAAGTCTTAATGTATTAGAACATTTTCATTTTTTAATGGAATGTTAAAACCATATTATGATTAAAAAAAATACTAGTTATAAGCATCACCAGCAATTTTTAAAAGTAAAATACAACATATAATCCAGCAGTTAAGAACATGGGTTCAATTTCTGTCTCTACAATTTGTCCTATGACCTTTCCACGTTGACTTCTCTGAGGCTCAACTTCCTCATGTATAACACTGAGATACTATCTACCTCTGGGTTTTTGTGAAGATTAAGAAAATGAATGTAAAGTACTTGTCACAGTGTCTGGCACTGTTAAATATCATTTGTTGTAATGCTATTGATGATCCTTTAATGTATCAGTACTAGATTAAAGGAAATATGCATCCTTGGAAGAAATAAGTTTCAAATTACCGTATTTGGCAAACAATTACAGGGTTTTTTTTTTTTTTTCCTACTGCTAGTGAGAGACTTAATTTTTCCATTGTAGACTTTTTTTTTTTTTTGACACAGGGTCTTACTCTGTTGTTCAGGCCTCTGGTACAGTGTGTGATCACAGCTCACTGCATCCTTGATCTCCTGGGCTCAAGCAGACCTCCTACCCAAGCCTCCAGAGTAGCTGGGACTATACGTGTATGCCACTATACCCAGCTAAGTTTTAAGTTTTTTGTAAAGATGGGGTTTTGTCATATTGCCCAAGATGGTCTCAAACTCCTGGGTTCAAGCTAGCCTCCCACTTTGGCCTCCCAAAGCGCTGGGATTACATGTGTTGGCCACCATGCCCAGCCTCACTGTAGACTCTTGAACAGGTTTTAGACAGACAAATTTATACATAGCAAGACTTCTTAACAAGTGTCCTTACATTCAGAAGATTTTTTGAAATGCCATTTTTTTCTACTCACATGTCTATGCAGCCCTCAGAGCAGTCACAGGAATCAGTAAACATGCTGGAAAAGTTGGTTAGATAATAAGCTCGAGGCCACACGGTCCTTCTGTACTTAAACTGTGGGGGCTTTCTACTGTCAATTTCATTACAGAAAGAAATGGGCACTGATTCCACTCCATTGCTAATATCCACATTAGAAACAACTTCTTCTTGCTTTGGGTAATTCCGAGCCAACTGAACATAGGTATTGAAAGAAAAGTTATCTGTAAATAAAAAGTTACACTCTGTCTCAAGCAGGTAACGAAAAACTTCCTCCACGTTTCGTAGACTCCTTCCACAAGGGGTTTTATAACTCACATGGAGTGCTGAAGAATGAGAGTTTGTCTTTGCATGTCGTCTTTGGAAGTGACATTTGATCGGCAGCTGCAGAGGGTTTTCTCCCTTCAAGGTGAGTGGCGTTTTCATGAGACAAGCACCAGAGCAGTCATGACTTTGATAAGATAAATTCAAAGATGAGTCTTTTTCTCTAAAGTCTACAACTTTATCTTCCAGAGAGATAATTTCCTTATTTTCTGTTGATCTGTTAAAATAAATTATTAGTATCTCAAATTTATAGTTCAATTCCCCATTTAAAAAAAAACTGTAATTATTTCCTATCATCTTTTTAGACAATATTAAAATAAGCCAGACTCTAAGATACACATCTTAAGATGTTCTGCAGCCATACAGAGATTATACCTAATTTATTTTTAAAACTTTTCTCAGAGATGGGGCCTTGCTATGTTGCCCAGGCTGTGGTGAATATTCACAGTTGTGATCATAGCACACAGCAGCCTTGAATTCTTGTCCCCAAGTGATCCTCCTGCCTTAGCTTCCCGAATAGCTGGCACAGGCACGCACCAGGTCTGCCTTATACCTAATTTCAGAATACTTCAGGAAGTGTGATTACAGCTGTAACTTTTGGTTAGGTATTTCATAGCACCTAGCAAATTTAGAGTTCATTTAGAACATGCAATCAATCAAGCACTGAAGAAGGTTACTTCTTCAGGCAGGCTGGGATCAAGAAAGGCTGGCTGAAAACTTATGAGTTCATCAAGAATCCTTTATACTGTTTGCCTTCAACAATTGTACCAACTGAATTATTTCCAGAATATGTAATCTACCTGGCAATCGTATTGATACATCTGAAAAAAATGGCAAACTGACAGGAGAAAATGGGGTGGTTATTGATTTTAATTATAAAAAAAAAATCAGCAGGGTGTGATGCCTCACAACTGTAATCCCAGCACTTTGAGAGACCAAGAGGGAAGGATTGCTTGAACTCAGGAGCTCAAGACCAGCCTGGGCATCACAGAGAAATCTCATACCTACAAAAAATAAACAAAATGAGTAAGGTGTGGTGGTGCATGCCTGTGGTCCCAGCTACTTCAGGGGCTGAGGTGGGAGGATCTGTTGTATTTGGGAGGTTGAGGCTACAGTGAACCATGATCACACCACTATTCTAGCCTGGGTGACAGAGTGAGAGCCTGTCTAAAAAAAAGAAAAAAATATGTGAAAAGCTTCCATGTGTTTGGAAATCAGGTTTTAAACTTTCACAAGAAAACTGAGTTTTGTTTACATAGTATTTTCTATCTTTAGGTATCTGTTATGTATTATAATACAGGTATTTATTTTAGAGATGTTCTGTATTTGCTATATGATATGGTTTGGCTGTGTCCCTACCCAAATCTCATCTTGAATTCCCATGCGTTGTGGGAGGGACCTGGTGAGAGGTAATTAAATCATGAGGGCAGGTCTTTCCTGCGCTGTTCTCGTGATAGTGAATAACTCTTGAGAGATCTGATGGTAATGTAAGGGGGAATTTCCCTGCACAAGCTCTTTTCCTGTCACCACCCACGTAGGATGTGACTTGCTCCTCCTTGCCTTCCACCATGAGTGTGAGGCCTCCCCAGCTATGTGGAACTATAGTTTGTTTTAGATAGTATTTTCTATCTTTAGATGTCTGTTATGTATTGCTTCTTTTAGACAGGATCTCACTCTGTCACCTAGGCTGGAGTACAAAACCTCTTTCTGTTGTAAATTGCCCGTCTCAGGTATGTCTTTATCAGCAGTGTGAACATGGACTAATACACTATACAAAGCAGTGCTGTCCAAAAAAATCTTTCTCCATTGATAGAAATGGTCTATATCTGTGCTGTCCAATATGGTAGCCAGTAGGCACATGTGGCTACTGAGCACTTTTAAATGTAGCTAGCATGACCAAAAACTGAATTTTTACATTTTATGTAATTCAGATTTAAACAGCCACATGTAGCTAGTGGCTACCGTACTGTATGTGCAGATATGGATCTTCCTTATCCTTTCTCCAGCTGTATAGTAATCCTTTGTATAGCCCACAATTTAATTACCTAGTCTGCAATAATGGACTTTTTTCCATAGCATGTAGTATAGGCTAGCCCGCAATAGTGGACTAGTTAGCTTATACAGTGATCTTTCAGAACATACACAGTAAATGTATACAGCGATCTTTTAATAAGTAATTTAACCGTAATAATCTTTGTTATAAGATTACTTATTAGTCTTATTGTATGAATAACAATTTCATACACGATTGTTGCAGAACATATTCCCAGAAGTGAGAGTGCTAAGTCACAAGGCAAATGGGTTAGTTATTTCATTAATATTGTCAAATTGTTCTACATTGTGTCAGTTCCTTCAGCAATAAGTGAGAGTGCCTGTTTTCACAGAGCTTCATCAATCAGGTGGGTCTTGATGCTTTTGGATTTCAGAGTCTAACAGGTGAAAGGATGTACTGTAATTTATTTATAAATCTTTTTTTTTTTTTTTTTTTTTTGAGAGAGTGTCTCACTCTACTGCCCAGGCTGGAGTGCAGTGGCATGATCTCAGCTCACTGCAACCTCTGTTTCCCAGGCTCAAGTGATTCTCACGCCTCAGCCTCCCAAGTAGCTGAGATTACAGGCGTGCACCACTGTGCCCAGCTAATTTTTGTATTTTTAGTAGAGATGGGGTTTCACCATGTTGTCCAGGCTGGTCTCAAACTCCTGACCGCAAGCTATCCACCCACCTTGGCCTCCCAAAGTACTGGGATTACAGGTGTGAGCGACCACACCAGCCCTATAAATCTTTGAATATTAATAATGTTTGTTTCCAATTTGTCTCTATGTTACTACTTTACTGAACATCCTCATATATAAATCCTTGATGAAATTCCTGATTATTATTTTAAGATACCTTCCTTTAAGAGGAATTGCTAGGTCAAGAGAAACATACATTTAAAACACTTTTTATTTATAAAATTTCCAAAAATACACATAAGAGTATAATTTTCTTATAAACAGAGACTAGCCAGGAGCAGTGGCCCACGCCCGCAATCTCAACATTTTGGGAGGCTGAGGTGGGAGGATCACTTAAGCCCAGGAGTTCAAGACTGGCCAGGTCAACAAGGAGAAACCCCATTTCTACTAAAAATAGCAAAAAATTAGTGGGGTGTGGTGGTACACACCTGTAGTCCCAGCTACTCAGGAGGCTGAGGTGGGAGAACTGTCTGAGCCTGGGGAGTCGAGGATGCAGTGAGCCGTGATGGCCTGGTCACCCAATAGCCCTGATAGAGATGTACAAGGAGATTAATGTTCTTATGCCTATTAACAAAACATCCATTCTGCAGCCCGTGGACAAAGGTGTAATTTTGACTTTCAAGTCTTATTATTTAAGAAATACACTTCATAATGCTATTAATATTATCTGCCATAGATAGTGATAGAAAGTAAATAACCTTAGATAGAAAGTAAATAACCTTCTGGAAAGGATTCACCATTCTAGACAGCACTTGTGATTCATGGGAGGAAGTCAAAATATCAACCTTAATTCGTGATTCTAACTCTCACGAATGACTTTGAGGGGCCTAAGACCTCAGTGGAGGCAGTAACTGCAGATGTGATACAAATAGAAAAAACTAGAATTACAAGCGGAGCCTGAAGATTTGACTGAATTGTTGCAATCTCAGGATAAAACTTGAACGGATGAGGAGTTGCTTCTTATGGATGGGCAAAGAAAGTGGTTTCTTGAGATGGAATCTACTCATGAAGATGCTGTGGACATTGCTGAAATGACAACAAAGGATGTACTAATAGAACACTACATAAATTTAGTTGATAAAGCAGTGACAGGCTTTGAAAGAACTGACTCCAATTTTGAAACCTGTTCTATTGTGGGTAAAATGCTGTCAATTAGCAGCATCGCATACTACAGGGAACTCTCGTGAAAGAGTTAATCAATGTGGCAAACTTTATTGCTGTCTTACTTTAAGAAACTATCATAGTAACCCCAGCAGTCAGCAGGCACCATCCTGATCAGTCAGCAGCCATCAACATCAAGGCAAGACTCTTTACCAGCACAGAGACTAGGAGTTGCTAAAGGCTCAGATGATTGTATTTTTTTTTAGCAATAAAGTATTTATAAATTAAGGTATATACACTGTTTTTAGACATAATGGTACTGTACACTTACTAAACTATAGTATAGTGTAAATGTAACTTTTACATGCACTGGGAAACCAAAAACTTTTTCTGACTTGTTCTATTGTGATATTTGCTTTATTGCAGTGGTCCAGAACCAAATCTGCAATTATCTCTTAGGTATATCTGTACACTATTGGTGGGAATGCAAATCAGTAGAGCCATTATGGAAAACAGTATGGAAATTCAAAAAATTAAAAATAGAGCAACCATATGATCCAGCAATCCCATCACTGGGTACATATCCAAAGGATATGAAGTCAGTATACCAAAAAGACAACTGCACTCCCATGCTTATTGCAGTATTTTTCACAATAGCCAACACAGGAATCAACCTAAATGCCCATCTACAGATGAATGGATAAAAATGTGGTGTATATATTTATATATACATATGTATATACACATATACATATACAGACAACAACGATGAATACTACTCAGCCATAAGAATGAAATTTTGTCGAGAGGAGGATCTAAGATGGCCGTTTAGGAACAGCTCAGGATTGCAGCTCCCAGTGAAAGCGCAGAGGGTGAGTGGACGCCGCGTTTTTATTGCCCACAGACTAGGAAATTCCCGGGCAGAGGTGCTCCACGCTCGCCACCGCGGCTGTTGTGGCCAGCGCTGCTGTGCAGGCCGGCGCCGACCAGCGCCGCTGCTCTGCCCCACGCGGCTGCTTTGTCGGCGCCCCGGAGCCGCGGTTCTCCCTACAAAATACACCGGTCCGGGTGCCCTTTTGGCTGGCGATTGGAGCCACGGGAAGTCGCCCATATGCTGGTTCAAAAAGGGGACTGAGCAGAGAACCAGGACAGTAGATTCCAGGGCAAAAAAAAAAAAAGAAAAAAAAGCGCCACAAACCTCAGTGCCGCTGTTTAAGCCAGCGCAGTGAGTGGCCGCAGGGGAAAACAAACAGACCCCGGCGCCTCTTCAACAGGCGACTGGAACACCAACTTAAAAAAGGCTCTGAGGCAGGGAGCCAGGCGATCAGGCTCGGCTGGCCCCACCCCCATAAAAGAACAGCAACCAGAAACTCTGGATTGAGAG